AATTCTGTAATGCATTTTTACAAAAGAATTCTTTACTTCCTAAATGAATTTGCTGAAAAATTTATCTTTAAATAAAAATTATTCATATTTACTTATTAAAAATATCTGACAAATTCATTAAAATTTTCAAATCAGTCTGGTTACCAAAATTCTCAAAGGGCATATAAATAGCAACAAAGTAGTGATCTCTTTTGTTAAGTGATCTATATTCCCTTATGTAGGCTGTCTGAAAAGTTTCCAACCTAACAAAGAAAAAAAGATATTTTTTCTCCCAAATTACCTTTATTTTTCGACATTCTCTTTGTAAGTGTATACATTTCTTCCAGTGATGTTCTCATCCTTTTAACCCACTCAAAATTATATGTGGAATCTTTCTCTACAAAGTCTCCTCATGTCTTTGTACTCCAAGTGCTTCTTTTAGCTTGGAGGGGAACTTGGGGTTAGTTCTAGCAATTAGGCTGAGTGGTCAAGCAGTTCAAACCTGCAAATTTGACCATTTTTCTGCAATTTCTGCCTTCAGCTTGTCAAGTAACATAGTACGGACAATTCCATCACTTTCCCAACAGAAGGAACAGTTTTTTTGCCTCTTTTGGAACTGATTCTCCCTTTGAAGTCCACTGTTTTGATTGTGCTTTTGTTTCTGGGCTGTGATGATGAATCCAGGTTTCATCTACAATGATTAATAGTCGGAGAAACTCTGATTAATTTCGCCAACAGAAAGGTGCAAATGTTCATTTGGACATGCTTTTGGTCTAGCGTGAGCAGATGCAGCACCCAACAAGTAGGTAGCTTGCGCATATCTCAATCTTGGTTCAATATGTGGCAGACATGTTCTTTGGACATGCTCATAGCCTCTGCTATCTTTCTAACCTTGATTAAATGGTCATCAAGCACCATCTGGTTGAATTTAATGATGCTTTTGTCAGTGGTTGCAGTTTTTTGCTTTCTTGAACATTCATCACCATCCAGGCTGGTACTGCCATGTTAAAATTCAGCTGCCCAGAATTTCACAGCAATAAATGATGGTGCAGAGTCTTCGTACAGTGCGTCCAACTCCTTTTTAATATGAGTAGGCGAATTACCTTTCAAAAACAGGTATCTAATGACAGCACTATACAGTCAAAAGTCGTTAATTCGGACACCCATAATTCGGAATGATCTATAATCCGGACCTCAAAACTAAAAACTTTCTGCGCATGCGCCGCGTTGACACATGCGCATAAGACCTTTTACGACTGTGCATATGAGTGTGCACAAGTGCAGAATACTTTTTTGCGTGCGCGTTTTATGTATAATGGACGTATAAGCTAAAATTATCTAATTATCTATTTCAGTTAATGTTGATGATTGCGTTGTTCCTAAATTTTCGAATTGGATCCGGTTTATTATTTTTGGCAGACTGTAAGAGCAATTTTATAAAAGTAAGCTTAAACTTTCGATTATATCAAATAGAATTTCCGATATATATTTGTTAATATGAAAAGGATCTAAAGCGAAAGTATGTTTTGAAATCCGTAATCTGTTTATCAATTTCACGCTGCTCGCGGCGGGGGGGATCGCCGCGGCGGGCGCGTAATGAATTGGAAGTTGATCTGTCAGCACTATCCTTATCTTCAGTGCAGATGTTTTTTTTTTTGGCTTATAATTCCTTACCAAATGTATATTTCATCTCGATATGCTCCGTCTTTGATATGATTTAAAAACAAGTTCCTCGTCATTATAATTCGCTTTCGATAGCGAAGAAAGTGACAGAGGTTATTGAAAACGAAAAAAATTTCGATTGACAAATTAGTCGGTGTTCTCGACATAGCAATTATAGGACTTGAACAGCGGAACTTTGTAATGAACAAGAAATTATGTCTGTTTAATAGAATTAAAGAGAAAGTATTATCACATGAAATGAAGTAAAACTTAAACAACTTACATTGAAAGAAATGTTTAATAAAGTAAACTAAATATTAAGCTTTTTCTTTTTGCAAATTTTGATACCCTTTAGATCATAGTTGTTCTTTATTTCATAAATTACGGTTTCATATCTTTAATTTTAGAATTTCTGCATGCCACCTTACGAGATTTAAACTGATGATCTATAATCCGGAATCCGGAATTGCCGAAGGCCCGACGAGTCCGGATTAACGACTTTTGACTGTACTTGATTTTTTTTTCCCATTTTTACAAAAACTGTCACATCAACTCACAAAAGTAATTGAGCTCAAATTTTGATTTATAATTATCAAGTGATGCCCAAACAAGTTCCCCCCACTTCAGTTGATTTGAGTTGCCATCTACATATTGAGGTCGGAAACGTTTTAGACAGCTCTCGTAAATATGAATCTAGCTGGTGTTATGTTTCCCCCCCCCACTACACCATTTTGTGAAATGCCACACTCTTTTGGTATCCTGAGTATAGGCATTAATTCCATAACATTGAAAATATTTAACTACATGCTATTCTGTGAAAGATGGGTTATATTTTTTTCCCCTCTTCTCCAAATTGCTAATGAAAAACAGCAAAATAGCAGTTAACTGTACAAATGTAAAATAGATTACAAACAAAGTGAAGATTTTATAAATGTGTTGATTTTATAAACAAAGTGAAGATTTTATAAATAAACCTTGCCATTATTGGCATCAAATTACACTATTTGATGACTAAAAAATGTATTTAATAACCGGCCACGTGTTATGTGATCTACCACTTTTAGTTAATTATTTATAGGTTGATTAGGGTACAGTCATCGAAGAATAAACCACCAAAAGGTTATCAATCCTACAGATGGTACTAATACTCAAACTAAATCTTGCTGGGGGATTCTAAAGCCACAGATTCTTTGCAACATGCAGAGTATTGCACTGCAAATCACAATATCTCATAGAAGCATAGTAGATATCTGTTAGCAAAAGTGATAACTATTTTTTGGTCATGCTGTGCAGCATTCATAATGTATGTGATGGGACAGCTCATATATACAGCCATCTTAAGGGCCTGACCTGCTTTTCTTTTGTAAAATTAAAAGGAATGTAAATTTAATGAATTAACAATTGAATAGCTTATTTACCCTTTAATCACGATAGATGTAAACCAACATGGTTTTCTAATTCAATTACACAGAAAAATTTTTACCAGATTCTAATGCATCCAATTTCGAGTTGAATGTATACTGGAAAAAAAAGGCATCAAGGTACATAATTAAAGGGTCATTTTTAAACTATAATCAAGAAAATGTTATTTGTTCATGAGATTTTGAGAAACTTTTATATTTTACGAAAAAAGTCGTAACACTGAGAGGATTAAACTAATTACTGGAATTATTTTCATTTATGTTTTCTTAATTTTTTTTTGAATTTATTTTCATATTTAAAAATAGCATTTTAATGCTGCCATTTACGAAGTAAATAATCAACTAAAAGTGGTAGATCGCATTCTATATCATTACCTAATACTAGTTTTATATTAGTTGTACAGAAGATCGTACTGGCAGCGGTATCTTTATTAGGACCCCTCACTTTGAAACTACTATAAAGCAATGCAACCCTGACACTTGTTCTGTCCTCAGGAGTGAGTTAATTGCAATTAATGTGGGGCTTGATGCTGTCATGGCTTATGATTGTGATTTTGGAGAACTATGGATTTTATCAGACAGCCGCAGTGCACTACAACATCTTGGTGGCTGGTCGTACGCAAACAATGAACCCAGCATATCTATTCTGCTCAAACTGAGGAAGATCTCTCAGACCCACAATGTCCACCTACAGTGGATCCCATCACATGTTAATATTAGTGGTAATGAAGTCGTTGATAGACTGTCAAAGGATAGTGAAAATGAAACAGTCACTGGCTCTTCACTTACTTGCCAAAAACTTTACTCAAATGAAAGACCTAAATATGATATGGCGTATTCTACCAACGTACCAATGGTACACAGGAGCAACCCCTGGCTCGGTGCTGGAAATCCAATGTGTACGTGGCTCCCAGACTGCTCTCTGGCTAGACTAACAAGTGGCCACCTTAAATGTCTTTCCTTTGATAGTGGCAGAAGAATCTACCCCGCTTGTGAAAAATGCTGGGACCGGATCACATGCTGGTTTGCATCAGACTTTCTAAGGGGGACTTAACATCCGATCCCCTCGCTGTTATTGATTTTTTGGTGGTCAACAACCTTCTGGAGCTGGATCTTTCGAGGATAAGCAACAACAGTTTTATATTTAATAATATCCTGATTAAATAATTCTTAAGGTATGAATTTGCTGAAGTTAGTTATTTAGGGGCAAATAACCCATATTTGATGTAAAAAATGAGAAAAGGGGAAAATGTAAACAAAGCTCAAGGCATGACATATAATCCCAAAAATTTTTCTAATACTGGAATTTTTTGGATTAATGTATAAGGTATTTCTCCTGCCTGCTTAGCATGCCTTCATAGGTAGTGGTCAGCAGACTGGGCGCATATTCCAGAGGGCTGTGGTTTGATTCCTGGCGAAGGTGTTGCTCATTTTTCATAACTTCTGCTTCAAAAATATAACCTCATGTTTCTACAGTGGCGCTCGAACTAAAAGGGTGGTGGATGATGATTCTCCACACCCAGAATTTGCCGTTTAGTCCCAGAAAACTCTAGTCAACCTTTAAAAGGAAGAGTTAATAAGGTATTTCTCCCGCCTTCTTAGCATGCCTTCATAGTGTAATGGTCAGCACTCTGGGCACATACTCCAGAGGTCCGTGGTTCGATTCCCGGCGAAAGCGTTGCTTCTTTTTCATCTCTCTTGCTTCCAATAACCTAATGTCTCTACAAATATATTGGTGAAATCCTGAGGTGCGAAGATATCGGGATTCCATTTCATTTTAACATTGTTAAAAAAATAAAATTCCAATTATAGTTATGTGCCTTTTAATTAATGTATCAGATTGTTTTACCAAATATATTTTTATTATACTAGTAGTTTATTAAATGTATTAATAATTTAATGTCATGAATTTATATTGTGTTGTTATATCTTTTTTAGCTACAGTTATAGCTAGGATACTGCTGCTTCCCATATTAATTAAAACACAAAGAAATGCAATTAATATGAGCAATTACCTGCCACAGCTTCAGTTTCTGCAAGCTAAATTTGGAGAAGCGAGAAGAACAGGAAATGCAGTGGAAGGTTTGTATAAATAAGTACTGTGTTACATTAATAATAATTTTTTTAAAATTGAATAGCAAATACCTTATCTAAAAGTACTTTACTGTTAGATAATCAGAAAAGTTCCTGTTATATGGTACACACGAGGTTCGGCAGATTTCGGGAGGTGATAAAGTTTACATTCTGTATCAGTAGTTTTAGCGATTTTTGATGGGATTCTGCTTTTTTGGAGGCATAACAGTAAAAATAATGGGTAACTGCTATTTTTTGTTGAGTTGTTTATTGTATAGCTATTTTGCATTTATGAGCGGGAATAATTTTGGCTTTATAGATTTAAAAGACTTATTATATGGTGCACATGAGATTTAGCAAAATAGTGATTCTGAATGATTTTAGTTCTATTGATTTATACGAATTTGTTTAGTCTCGATAGTGTATTTTTTATTTAGGATGAGCAGTCTTTGATCACAGAATATTTTTTGCAAGTTGGAGTTAGAAGAAAACAGTAGACAATAAATGCAAGCTTACTATCTCATTGTATATGGGTGTGAATTTATCACTTTCAGCTTATCATTTTGTTTATGTTTTGGGCCTCCGCAAACTTATGGCAATACTTCCATTTGCTGTTGCCAAAAATTTGGCGGCAAATGTAAGGCTGTCATTTTGGTGTAACAAAAATTTTTTAAATCACATCACAGCTATACGGTATATTAGGATTTTACTAAAATCGGCCTTTGACATTTAAATGTCAAATGAAATCTCTTTGTTTGCATCAACTATGTCACTGAGCATTTGCTTGGTTTGCTTTATGTTGAGAGAGATGAGTACATTGTTGTGCGAGTTTTGTATACAGCACAGCATGCAAGTAATGTCTCCTAGTGTAACATGCAACTAGCCTCTGTTTGTATACTTTTCTTATTTTATAGTTGTTTCGAATTGCAAATATTGAAGATTTAAAGTAAGTTGTTAAATAAAAGATGTCTAAACAAAAAATTAAATGATAATGAAAATATTACAAATAAAAAATCCTGCTGCTCATTTGAAATGGAATGGCTCTCAAAGTTGTTAGAATGTGAAACCCCATCTTCAAATAAAAAATAAAATATTAAATTGGGAAATATCTTTAAATAAATGAAGAAAATGAAATTTCATGTTTCTTCTGTGCTGAAGCAAAAATTTGAATGAATTTAGTGCAGGTCAAAACTGTGATGAATGGAAATTAAATTATTTAAAGCATCACTTGAAGCAAAATTTAAATAAATGTTTACCATATATTTCTGGATATAAGCCAATCCATGTATAAACTGATAGTGTGTTTTTTCTTTAAAGGTTTACCTAAAATTCAAAACCCACATATAAACTGAAATGAAAAAAAAAAAAAAAAAACCTGCAGCGTTCAAACATGAGGGTGGAGATATTGCCAAGCAGGCAAAACAGACGGAGTATTTTGTAATCAAATTTCTGAAGTAAAATACCAAATGCCAACAAAAATAGTTTAACTCTGATTACTTTATCTGCAGCTAGCACATTTTCCCCATTCATTCGTATCTTGTATATATTCTGTAGTATCTGTTCTTACTTTCTGTGACACTTAATTTTTTGTTTTAAAAATGAGCGGAAAGAAAAAAAAAAATTTATGACAAATTTCAAACTACAAGTAATCTCATTTTCTGAAAGTTCTAAGAACAGTATTACTGCTTTGCATTTTTCCATAAATGAAAACAAGTTTGAGAGTGGAGGAAAAAATGTCTTGAATTAATGGAGATACCAAAATAAAAAAAAAAGGCAGCATATGCTCCCTTTCACTAGCAAGGTGCAAATTTCCCTGGTATCGTCCTTCCCCTCCTCCACCGACACAACAGACAAGCAATATAAATAATTTCAAAATTAAAACAACTCATTTTCATAAAACAAATAACCCATTTAGTTGAAACTGAATTTTGTCATAAATTTAAAAAGTAGAAAAATGTCATATTTGTCAATTTATCACTTTCACCTGTCTAAGAGAAAGTTTTCCTAGTTTTTAAAAAAGTTTTAAAAAATTCCAGCTTATGCGTGAAAATATATGCTGATTATACATCAAATAATTGTTTTGTATGAAATTAGTTTGTTCATGTGAATAAAATCTTTATAATTCTTATTTATATAAAGTTGTACTTTTGTAGCTTCCAGATATGCTTCTGAGATAATGGTATTTATGAAAGAACATAATATCAGTCCTATAAAAAATGCTCTCCTTCCCATGTCACAGGTAATCCTAAAAATCTTAATAATCTTGAAAATTATTGTTAAACTATAAAAAATTGTAATTTTTATGTTTATTGCAGAAATATGCTGTAGATGACTCCATTTTTATGTTTCATCAGCAGTGTCTTTTACATTTACTTATATTAAATCTGTACTCTTACTCTTATTGATTGAATAAAAAAATTAACACAAGTAAATAAGAGAGGTGCATACAGTAAAAGTTCAACTGTCTGGCATTGAACTAACCAAAATATCATAGAATTTTACAAAAACATTTTTCCCAGAAAATTAAGTAAAGTGAGACGTTCTTAACACCATTGTATAACTTGTTCTATTATTAGCACATATACATGGGTGCCTAATAATGTGATTTAAGACCAAATATGGATAAGTGTAATGTCACACAATCATAAGAATATTGCCATGGTTTTATATAAACTCGATAAATAAAAAAAAAGATGAATAAAAACTTATGAAGTAAAAAATTTAATACAAAAAATGCTACAATAAATTTAAAAATAAAGGATAATATTATAATCAAAAACAGATAAAAATTGAAAATCAGCATGGTTTTTTATTTTTAACACAATTAATAAATTTTGACAAATTCATTGATTAACGGCAGTAAGCTTGTATGTTTGTTCCAAAAGCGGATGAATCCATCTCTATTTTGTCAAAAGCAAAACAGTAACACTAGTGTGAAGAACCTTGTGCAACGATATCAAACAAACATATATAAAAATACATACAGATTTAACCGTCTGATTACAGAAGACTCTGCCCTAAAACAAAAGAAATTTTACTTCAGGCGAAACAATAATTCACCGCTATATTAATCAAATTTATTTTAATTTAAAACTTCAATCAATCAACATGTGTCAGTAAACCTGGATGCCTAAAACGATCAGGCAAACATTTAAATTACATCTGTGAGCTCAAAAGTGATGAAAATTAATTCAATTTTACTCCAGTAATGAAGAATAAAGCTGCCTTTCTTACTTGAGGTGCCCGCATCCTATATTAAAGTATTTATATTGCCAGAGTTCTGTATCTACGAAAAGCATGAGTTCTTTCATATGGTAATTGTAGTTGCAGACTCATTTACATCTCAGTTTTAGTGTACTGTAAACAAAGCACTGTTATGCCACTCTAAGTGTAATTAAAAACTTGTGTTCTTTATTTATCATGGCGTATAATTGGTTTCTGTTTTTAATATTGCATGTGACTGACCACAATGAGCCATGTGATCGACTTGAGCTCAGTAGGTTTATATGATACTATTACCAACAAATTTTTACATTTATTTTTATGCAAGCAAAAAAAAAAAAAAAAATTAACATTTCGAATCTGAACTTATACTATGTATTTTCATTTGAGAATTATTCTTTTTTAACCTGTTGGTTGTAAGTTATGGCTCTTGCCTTCATGAGATTTCTGTTCCAAGGTATGTCCTCCAAAGTATTTAATACGGTCAAAAGTCGTTAATTCGGACACCCATAATCCGGAATGATCTATAATCCAGACCTCAAAGCTACAAACTTTCTGCGCATGCGTCGCGTTCACGCATGCGCACAGGCATTTACGAGTGGGCGTAAGACCTTTACGGCTGTGAATATGTGTGTGCACATGCGCGTTTAATGTGTAGCGGATGGTATAAGCTAAGCTAAAATTATCTAATTCAGTTAATGTTGCAGATTGCGTCGAATTGGATCTGGCTTATTTCTTGCAGACTGTTAGAGCAATTTGATAAAAGTAAAGTTTGAACTTTCGATTATGTCAAATAGAATTTCCGATATATATTTACTAATATGTAAAGGATTTACAAAGCGAAAGTATGTTTCGAAATCCGAAATCTGTTTATCAATTTCACGCCGTGGCGCGCAATGAATTGGAAGGTGATCTGTTAGCACTATCCTTGTCTTCAGGGCAGATGTTTTTATTTTATTTGGCTTATAATTCCTTACTAAGTGTAGTATTTCATCTCGATGTACTCCGTCTTTGATATGATTTAAATCAAGTTCCTCGTCATTATAATTCGCTTCCAATAGTGAAGAAAGTGACCCAGAGGTTATTGAAAACGAAAAAATTTCGATTGACAAATTAGTCGGTATTCTCAACATAGCAATTATAGGACTTGAACAGCGGAACTTTGTAACTAAAAACGAAATTATGTCTGTTTAATAGAATTAAAGAGAAAGTATTATCACATGAAACGAAGCAACTTAAACAACTTACATTGAAAGAAATGTTTAATAAAGTAAACAAATAAATATTAAGCTTTTTCTTTTTGTAAATTTTGATACCCTTTAGATCATAATTGTTCTTTATTTCATAAATTACGGTTTCATATTTTTAATTTTGTAATTTCTGCATGCCATCTTACCAGATTTTAACTGATGATCTATAATCCAGAATCGCCGAAGTCCCGACGAGTCCGGATTAGCGACTTTTGACTGTATATGAAGATTTATATGTTGATGATTCTTTCTACTTGCATAAAACAAATGTAAAGCAAATTTCTTATACTTTTGGTGCATTAAAATAAAATCAAGGAACTGAATTGGTGAGGCTTACATTTTTTTTTCAGACATTTGTATTTTTGAAAGTTGTTTGTGTAAATCTGATAACTAAACACAGACTTCATTTTTTAAAATATATTATTTTCTCTCTATTTAATGTTTTGCTTGTCACAAAATGAATATCACCTAAATATTTCGTATAATAAAACAGTTTATTTAAAAAAGATTAATCAGTAATCACATAATAATTTGAACACTCAAAAATTGTGTTTAAGCTTTTTTGACAGACTGTATTTCTTATTAGCCGGAAGGGGCATTACCCCCAAAAAGGCTATTGATTTCAAAACAGCATTTTGTCCCGAATCACTGTAAACAAAGATTTTTGGGTACTATTCCGTTTTGAGGACCGTAAAAAATTGCAGCGAAAATATATGCGCAAAAGCGCCAAATCTAGCAAACGCGCCCATTTAACAGCGCGCCAAATCTAGCGTACCCGCTGATTTCAGATTGCGTAAGTTTATATAGTTCTATATTTCTTAAGACGCCATTGAAATACTAGTTTAATTTTTAAATCCTTTTTTAATATCCTATGGATTTAACAATTTGGGAATTGCCCATGACAAAAAATCGGCAATAGAATTTTGGGCAAAGTGCAGAATCACCCACTGTTTGACGCGTTTTTAAGAATTGCACATACTCGGTATCCATGTACACATCAACCTATTTTCACTTAAAAAAAACATCCCAGAATTGCACAAAAATGGCATTGTGCATTCCCTTGACTTTATCCATGTACACATCGACCTATTTTCACTTGAAATGTCAAAGAAAATTGACAAAAATCCAATTGTTTTTAAAAAGTGGCAAACAAATAAGTGGGCAATTCTGCACTTTAACGAGAATATTTTCAAAGAAAAGGCATCATTCATGATAGAGAATTACGTTTGAACAACCAACGAGATGAAATTATGCTTTAGCGATAAGTCGGTAGCGAAATAGCGATGCAGACATTCATTCAGTTATGTTTAGCAATTTTTATATAAATTATTATAATAATCTGAAATAGTTATTTACTCTTTTGCTTCCATTCAGTCATGTTTAGCCTTTTTTATATAAATTATAATAATAAAAATGTATTATATAAAATTAACCTTTCATTCTAAATTAAAACATCAATCTTAGATAGTTATTTACTATTATACTTCCTTTCTTGCCGCAATTATTTTTGGCAGCTTTGGCATCAACAATAGTTTGGCGATTTTTTACGGCCCTCGAAACCGAATAGTACCGATTTTTGTTTTCAGATTGTTGTATCACTTTTCAAATTGTTGCTACCAGATATTATGTTCCTGTATTATATTTTAATAAATTAACTAATGAAAAATCTGCATGAATGTATGCATGTTTCTCGCTTTGAAAAAAACAACAATACATAGGGCCATCCAGTTTTGAATAATAGCCCAAATATGAGCACCTGGAAGCCCAAATTTTGTATTTTGAATTTGTTTTATTATCTGTTTCATATTTTTTAAACTTTGATGAATTTTTGATTAAGAAACTCAATGATTTCAAAGCGAGCAATGGTAGCACACTGTGCAGAATAAAATATTTTTATCTCCAGTGCATGAGACTGTCTATTAGAAATCTAAAGATATGCTGTTTTTAAATATTTTTAGCCCAAATACTCTCAAAACTTGTATGTATGTGTAAAAATACCCCTTTAGACGTGATATTAAATCTAAAAGCTTTCGATTTTTTTCTTATTATTTAGTTTAAATGAAAATATAACACAAGAATTATTTTCTCCATATGGAAATGATTACTTTTTTAGCAAAATATATTTAAGTTCTGTATCTGAACTGAAAACAGCAACTAAAAACAAATTAATGACAAGTTATGTTAGAAATTTAATTATTCATTAATTTGAAGATGGTAAAAAGGTTCAAAATGTCCAAAAAGATAATGGTTGTAAAGTAGTATTCAGCTATTTTTTAATGTTACAAAACAATACAATTTTGTGGAGCCATTAAAAATGCATTCTTAAGCTAAAGCATGCATACTAAGTTAGGATCACATTCCAAGGTAATGCCAAGTAATCGGAGATTTATTTCATGCAAAATCAAATGAAACCGAAATGTTTGTCCTTTAAACTTACAATGGATTTAAGAGAATACAGTCAGAAGTTAATCCGGACTCGTCGGGACTTCGGTGATTCCGGATTATTGATTTTTCCGGATTATAGATCATCAGTTTAAATCTGGTAAGATGGCATGCAGAAATTATAAAATTAAAAATATGAAACCGTAATTTATAAAATAATGAGCAATTATGATCTAAAGGGTATCAAAATTTACAAAAAAAAAAAAAAAAAAAAAAAAAAAAGCTTAATATTTATTTGTTTACTTTATTAAACATTTCTTTCAACGTGCGTGCGCGTAAAGCATACATTACGCATAGTCGAAATTAGAAAATTGCAACAAGAAAACTATTTGATTTGTATTCGTGATATTTATAATGACGAGGAATTTGATTTAAATCATATCAAAGACGGAGTATACCGAGATGAAATGCAACATTTAGTAAGGAATTATAAGCCGAATAAAATAAGAACATCTGCCCTGAAGATAACGATAGTGCTGACAGATCAACTTCCAGTTCATTGCGCGCCGCGACGCCCTCCCCCCCCCCCCGGGCAGAGCAGCGTGAAATTGATAAACAGATTTCGGAACGGTTACATAAACAAAGGATATGCCTTTATCTATTTTTTGTAGCAATTCCACTTTTTGTTTGATGGACATCGAAACATACTTTCGTTTTGTAGATCCTTTGGGAGCTCCAGCATCGGAAATTCTATTTGACATAATCGAAAGTTCAAGCTTACTTTTATAAAATTGCTCTTACAGTCTGCAAAAAATAATAAGCCGTATTCACTTCAAAGATTAAGGAACAACGCAATCATCAACATTTCAGTTAATCATCAACATTAACTGAAATAGATAATTAGATAATTTTAGCTTCTACCGTCCGTTATTAAACGCGCACGCGAAAACTTATTCTACGCTTGCGCAGACGCATATGCGAGTCGTAAAGGTCTTGTGCGCACGCGTAAACGCCTATGCACGTGCGTCAACGTGGCGCATGCGCAGAAAGATTTTAGCTTTGAGGTCTGGATTATAGATCATTCTGGATTATGGGTGTCCGAATTAACGACTTTTGACTGTAGTATGCAACAAAATTTAACCCTAACGCTGTTGAAAGGGTCATTAGAGTACATGAATACTATGGGCAATCAGCAAGAAAAAAAATTTTCCACAAGAAGAAAACAAAAAAAAAATATGCTTGGTGCTTACAAAATCTCCATGGTAAGCAAAATGTTAACAATTTTATATTTGCATATGAGTCAAAATCTCATATTTGGGTCAGATGGACGAATCACTGTGTGGCAAAAGCTGAACTGAATCCAAAAGATCTGTTGCCTACTGTTACACGAAGGTGAAGGTATAATAATTTGAGGATGCTTTGTTTCCCTCAAAATGGAAAATTTCGTTTTTATAGTAAATAATATAGATCAGTGTAACTATATGAACATTCTTAATGAAAACTTGAAAGCATTTTCATGGAAATTTGGTAAGCAGAGTACCTTCAAGTTCTATCACTTGCAGTTATAATGCAACTGCCCTGATGTCATCAAAATCCTCTCCTATCAAACATGCATAGAGTGAACTGGAGGAAAAAATATGGAAACATTATATATTTTCAAAAGCTCTACTAAAAGCAATTTTGATAGAGATATGGACCCTTCTTATTTAAAAAACTAATAGAATCCATCCAGTGTAATTGTAGCTAAAGGACATGTAACAAAATTTTGAATATCTGCGTTGTTTTTGTATTTTTATTAGATTTATTACTCAAAGTGTCCCAATACTTATTCAAGTTGATTTTCAGAACTTTTTTGAATAAACTGTTTTTTTCTTTTTTTTGCCAAATTGTTTTGAATAATTTTTTGAAAACAAGCAGGTTTTTTTAAAAAAAAAGATGATCAATAGTTAATAGGTGGAAGTAAAATAAAGTTGTTTCCCTAATATTCAACAACTAGAGTTTTCAAGTAAAATTGGAAAACATAGTTGTCTTAAAACTAATGTGAGCCACTATATGCATATGCTAGTCTGCATATCATTATGAAGTAAAAAAGTAATAATCAAAATTTCATGTATTTTTTTTTTAATATTTGTAAGTTAAATTATGTGTAACTATTTTAGGCTCCTGTCTTTATATCATTCTTTTTGGGTTTGAGAGCGATGGCAAAAGTGCCTGTAGAAAGTATGAAGTATGGTGGCATTGGCTGGGCTACTGATTTGACAATTCCAGATCCATATTACATTTTACCAGCCATTGCATGTGGTACTCTGTATGTTGTACTGAAGGTAAGCTATAGTAATTTTTAAAAAATGCATATATTTTCAAAGTTGATTAATTTACATATTTTATGCTAGATGAGTTCTCTAAAATTTATACTTGGCAATTTTAAATAATAATTAACAAGTCTCAGATTTTAATAACCTATGCAATTTTTTTTTTAATTTTTAATATTTTTCTCCTTTTAAAGCAATTTTGGACATTTCAGAGCATTTTGATACATATTCTAATAATCACACTCAATGTTACCTTTGAAATAACACTATCTCAGCTCTTAAGAACTCATTTTTACCAGGCAGACATTATCTATCATGACAGACTTTTTCCACAAAATATCTCTGTCACTCATAAGAATGTTTCTGTGCTGGCATTTCTTAGTTCTTTAAGCCATTTAGTGCATATTCAGTTCCATAGAATTATGTGCAGAAGGGAAAAAGCTGTTCCACTGAATCATTCTTTGAATTACACTCTCACGGGTGTGTGCAGTACATTTTTCTACCTCAATAAAACTTCCTGTTTTTTTTTTTTTTTTTTTTTTTTTTTTTTTTTTTTTTTTTTGCTTAGCTGCTATAGTCATGCTTTGAATCTTGCACAGAACTGACACAGACAAAACTGATACATCGGATCTAATTTCAGGATCCTAATTTCAACTATTAAATCATTACAAGAGAAAAATATGGAACTTGTCAATGCAAAAGTTCATTGATAAATTATATGATGTTTTAAAATATGACAAAAGCAAAGTTACAGATATTGTATTTGCTAAATTCAGCACTGTTTTGACTAAAAATTGTGGCTTCCTAATTATGCAAAAAATATCCCTCATCTCAACAGGAGACGTAGACTGTTAAAACTGATGAAGATTTAACAGTAAGTGGTGTAGTTTTTTTCAAATATGCTCCAGTTACTGCAGTAGACATCAAGAGAAGCTTCTCACAACATAAAAACTTATAGATTGACAGCAGATCGTACAGTTTCGTAAGCACCAAGAAGCACTTTATAATTCAGTGCAATTGTAATATGTTTGTTTATGTGTTAAAATTTCATAAGAAAAAATAAAATTCAAATTGACAGATATGTGTAATTGTTTGGGTTTTATTTGTCAATGTCTATCAGTTGCTGTTTTGTATTTTGAAGAAAATTTCTTTTAAAATTTTTAGATTATCAGAATCTGATCTATGGTAATTAGCTATATTTCAGATAAAATTTGTACTATTGTATCTGTGGAAATTTCTGCACTCACATACTTAAAAAGGGGGGAAGAGAGTTAATTTTAAGTTTTTTACTCCAACATTTTCTGAACTATCTCATTTCTGCTGTCTGTACTTTAATATTTATTAGGTGTGCTTCTATTTATAGATTGGAGCAGAATCTGGTATCAAACTTGAAAATATGAAAATGGCAGGGTATTTTCTTCGAGCATTGCCCATTATTGCTTTTCCTTTCTGCATGAATTTTCCATCGGTGAGTATTATTTTGTGTTAGATGTTAATATATGAATGTCCTGATAATAAGTTCTTTTAATTTAAAGCTGTACTGCTTGACACTGTATTTTTTTGTTGTGATGTATTTTCTTGACACTGTCAACAGTTTGGTTTTCATGTAACCAGTTTTTAGCACCATGAATTATTTTTTAAGACAAAATCTAGTGTATTCAAGAAACTATATACTATATGGCCACACTTAACACTCTATTGGGAATTCAGTACTCGCATATTATTCCATCAGACTGTTGCTAGGTAGCATGATTTAACACCAATTGTGGATAAGTGTGACATAACAACACACCCATATTTTCATTTAATGTACTCTGATTGATTCTTGATAAGCCATTTTTTTTTAAGGAGCAAGTGTAAGTGTTATTGCTTACTTTCTTTCTTGAGTGGACAATGGTTGAAATTTGGGACCTACATTTTACAAAACAGCAAGCAGCAATTTTTAAAATTATGGAATCCTGCCATAAAAAAAGTATGCATTAATGGACATGGACGTAATATGATCAGCTGAATATGGATAACAAAACAATAACAGAAAAGTTTCACTCATAGCATTGTAAACAGAAACTCCAGTAAAATTGGAGGGCGTAATGAAATAGTAGAAGTGGAAGAAGTCATTTTTATAAACAGCTAAATAAAGCAAGTCGAATGTTGATTATTTATTAATTAAAATATGTATTAGCTTCTTCAGAATGTTTTTTTGGGACGAATGGCTCAAGTTTGGCAGGATCTCCACCAACTTTCATAGTTCTATAATAGCCAACTTTCACTGTCTGCGGGATAATACATAAGTACCAGGAATTCTAAAGTTATGTTGGTTTTAAATATTTTCTGATTTTGCTTTTGAATTTTAGTGCAAAGAAAGCAGTGTTTAATGATAAATTTAAAAACACACATACAAGAAAAGTTGTGTTAGCAAGTGTGATTCAAAGAGCTTAGTTTGATGAAAGCATAAAACAGACATTTTGCTACAGAATTAAAATCTGAATATTTTCTTTTTCTCTTTTTTTTTTTCCTTTCTCTTCCCCCCCCCCAATGAATTTTAGTATTTGGAATATTTCACAGTAAATTATTTTTATTATTTAATTGGCCTCAACATATGTAGTTTACCAATCCGTTTAGTTCCTGCAGAATAGAGTATAATGGCACAATACTTGCTAACATTTAGAGCAGAGATTGCTAATCCCTTTCCTTTAATTGACACCTTCTAAAAGAATGATTTTCGTCATCAACCCTCTTATACTTTTCTCTAATATGCAGTATACAACATAATCATAGAATAAATAATTGCAAATAAATAACTTAAAGATTAGACTAAGAATATGGACAACAGTTTTGAAAAAAGAAAATGTTTTATTAGATTTATATTGTTATTTTTTTATTATTATTGTATAAATATAAGGAAATATTCAGAAGTAAAATCACAGATTCTAACACACAAATCACAGACACAAAAGTTTGATTTCATGTGATGGGTATACTTGATGTACTGATGCAGTTTTTTTAATATTTGATATGAAATGGCTTAACTTGAATCTTAAATCCCCTTGTTTAAGAATATTCAACCTGTTTTTTCTGTCGTAAATTACTGACTCGACTAAAACCTGTTTATCTACCTACTTCCTGATAGGCTATCCTGTTCAAATTGTGTACTTGCATTGTTTCTCGATGATAGTGCTATGTCATGAAGTGTTATTTTCAAAATTTGATTTAGATTTTTTTTATTTAAACAATTTTTCACACATGCCTTCATTTAATGAATAAACTAAATATATAAAAATTTTACTGTTTGTGGTACATTGAGTGGAAAAAAATCTTTTCGATGAAACATATATAAAAATTATAATGCGATTTCTGAATTTTTGAAAATTGCTCAATTTTTTAAACTGTCTTAAGACTTCAGCATCTAATAATTTATGGATGTAAAATTTTGAAATTTTCGCAGCTTATATAACAAATTTATCATCCTCTTTTTAAGCAAGAATGATAAAAAATATTTATTGAGCAATTTTCTACTTTGTTTTGTTTTTTCATTTTAGCTTCAAGTAAAATGCTCATTGTAACATTGCTGTTACATTCAATTTCCAAAATGGAATGTTCAAAGCGATTTCTTCTTTCTTTGAATGATGTTTGGTTATTTTTTTTATTATAGTTCAGCATATTTTATTGAAAAATTTAAGTAGCAATAATTATCAGACATTTTATGCTGTTGAAAAGTTACCTATCAAATTACTAAATAGTTCATTTTCTGTTCATGTTATCTTTTTAGAAAGGTGGTGAAATGGGAAAATGCTCTAAAATGGGAGGAATGAGATTGAAAGTGAAAATTATTGATTAGCTTATTATCTGAATAAATAAATTTTTAACATGTTGTTGTTGGTAATGCATTGCAATATATGTATTTGGTAATATGTTTTTAATAGGCAATATGTTGCACACCAATATTTCAAAGTATAAAATTTAATTTTTCTAAACTTCATAAGAAACAAATATAATACAGTCAAAAGTCGTTAATTCGGACACCCATAATCCGGAATGATCTATAATCCGGACCTCAAAGCTAAAAACTTTCTGCGCATGCGCCGCGTTGACACATGCGCACAGGCATTTACGCGAGCGCGTAAGAACTTCTTGACTACTGCGCATATGCGTGTGAGCAAGCGCAGAATACGTTTTCGCCTGCGCGTTTTAATGTATAACGGACGGTGTAGGCTAAAATTATCTAATTATCTATTTCAGTTAATGTTAATGATTGCGTTGTTCCTTAATCTTCGAATAGGATCCCGGCTTATTATTTTTTGCAGACTGTAAGAGCAATTTTATAAAAGTAAACTTGAACTTTCGATTATGTCAAATAGAATTTCCGATGCTGGAAGCTTCCAAAGGATCTACAAAACGAAAGTATGTTTCAATGTCCAACAAACAAAAAGTGAAATTGCTGAAAAAAATGGATAAAGACATGAAGAATGTGACAGAGAGGTTAGTGAAAACGAAAAAAATTTCCATTGACCAGTTAGTCGGTATTCTCGGCACAGCAATTAACGGGACTTGAACAGCAGAACTTTTAACTGAAAAAAAATTATGTCTGTTTATAGAATTAAAGAGAAAGTATAGTATCACATAAAATGAAGCAACTTAAACAACTTACATTGAAAGAAATGTTTATAAAGTAAACAAATAAATATTAAGCTTTTTTTTTTTTTTGTAAATTTTGATACCCTTTAGATCATAATTGTTCTTTATTTCATAAATTACGGTTTCATATTTTTAATTTTAGAATTTCTGCATGCCATCTTACGTGATTTAAACTGATGATCTATAATCCGGAAAAATCAATAATCCGGAATCGCCGAAGTCCCGACGAGTCCGGATTAACGACTTTTGACTGTATAATCATAAAATGGTTTGAATAAGGAATTTGTAAAAATAAATTAATTCCTGATAAAAATGTTTTTAATTTAAATTTGTTATGCTAAATAATGAAATTGTGTTTTAAAGTTTACAAAAAACAAAAGTTAAAATCATCAAAGCTTTAAATTCCTTCAATTAAAATATTTCCTCATTTATATTTTCCCATTTATGTAACTAATTTTATCATCTGAAAATTTTATGATTAATTTAATTTCTGAAGAACATTGCTATAATAAGAAAATAGCAAATGAAAAGTAGTCATGGATAAACTACTAGTAAATATTACAGTGTTATTTCTATAAAAAATACCTACATTCCAATAAAAATACTTAGTAATATTAACATTACAATATCTGATAGTGTAGCATTCTTTTACTATCTAGCTCAAAATTTTTAGTGACTAAATTTTAATTTGATATAAACTTTGTGTATTTAATAAAATTAATTTAATTAAAACGCAAACACCTCGCAAAAGAATGACATGACAAAATTAATAAAAGTGACACAAAGGAATTTACTCAAACAAGGAAAAAATTTATGCCCATGTAAAATTCCACCGAAACTCAAACTAGCAGTTGAGTTGTTAGTGGGTCCACCCCCCCCCCACCCTCTAGGGTGATTCTGCAGGAACTGGAGACTGTTTTCTAGTGTTTAGTTACACAGTTGCTGTACTGTTAAGCTTTCATGAGTTGCAAATACAAACGACATGCATGTTCATTTAGCTTACTTGTTGCTTTATATATTGCTTAAATATAAATTATACCTATTTGAGAAACTTCTTGGTTACAACAGTAATTTGATTGGACCTCAATTACCTTTAAAGCCCCAGGCTCACCTCACATGAATGAGTCTTGATCACAGTCCCAGAAAGGCACATCAGAGAAATGAAGGAGAAGGGGCCGAAATAAAAGACCTGGATTCTGAAGAATCAAACACATCGGTAGTGAATTAGGTTATGATGAGCTGAAATGTGAATAATAGAAATGAAATGAAATCGCATGTTTGGAAGGTTTCTTAACTGTGAAATCATTCGCCACATCCAGATAGTTTAACAAAGAAGCTGCACAAAATACATTTCAGATAATAAATGCAAGGAAAAGTAAAATGGAGAAATGCTAATATGAAAATGCAAATGCGGATTGAATACATTTAATAAAAATTAAAATGATGAACAGTTTACCAGTAAACTAGGCCTCAAATAGAAATACTGTATACAACAGAGAAAGGGGGAAATGATGCAAACTTTTTTTTAAATTTTCGGTGCATTGTGCTGAAGTGCTAGGAGTAAAATACATGATAAAACGTGGCATTTCTTTTTTAAAAAATATGTTTTATTAATAAACCAAGTAAACAAAGGATTACAAAATATTCAAAATAGTTAATCAAATAAAATTAATTATAAAAAAGTTACAGAATACAACAAAAATAAAACTTGTTAATATTTAAGCAACAATACAAAAACGCAGCAAACATTTAGACAAATATTTGAAAAAACAGATGGAGATGATAAACAATCAATAAGAGATTTTTGGAGAAACTATAAAGTCATGGATACTA